CTTTTGCCTCTGGGCATGTGCACTACTGCCTCTCTCTAGGCATCTCAATACTTATCTTGCATACAATACCTGATCTGGAAGGCAGGCTCTGAGGCTGCATATCAGATCAGGTCCTATGGAAAAATTGGCTGGTGGTGATGCAGCCTACCGTAAACTTTTAGCCCAGAGGTGAGAACGCTCACTAAGGCTGTGGGAGCCCTAGGTGTAATTTCCCTGTTTCTGCCAAAGGAGAAGAAAGGAAACTCTTGTTTTACTCCTATGTCTCATCAGTGAGCTCTAACCACCAGACTCTGGGATATTCTGAAGTAGGGTGCCCTCAATCTCTCCTGTCAATGCTGTTCCACTGTGAATAAAGTGAGTGACTGGGGCACAGGGATTAGACTCCGGGGGGGTCTCATCTCCAGGTGGGAGTCCTCACTACCAGGTCATAGAGTAATTCTCTGTCTCTTTCATTTTCTCTCTGTCCCAATGATTGTTCTAAACAGGAGCTTTCAAAGGGGGTTCTGAATAGTCATTGGGCCAGAGGGAATAAGAATGACTCTTGATAGGCAGAATAGTGGTAGAAATGTAGCCATGTTAGTGTGGGGTAGCTGAAACAAAAAACAGGACTGTGTAGCACTTTAAAGACTAACAAGATGGTTTAATAGGTGATGAGCTTTCGTGCGCCAGACCCACTTCCTCAGGTGATGAGATTTGATCTGAGGAAGTGGGTCTGGCCCACGAAAGCTCATCACCTATTAAACCATCTTGTTAGTCTTTAAAGTGCTACATAGTCCTGTTTCTTGACAGGCACTTAGAGTACACATCTGGGAGACCCAGGATCAAGTTCACTTGCTCTAATCACCTTCATTATTTATTCATAGTGGAACAGCTCCACCAAGGGAGACTGAGTCAAACATCAGAATATCCCATAGCTCAGTGATTAGAGCCCTCTTCTGAGGGTAGGGATGTCCCTGTTCAAATTATTTTGCCCCCTCAAGTAGCGGGAAGAACTCAGGTGAGTACCCTAACCATTGGGTTAAAAGTTAGAAGGGCCCCCCTTCTGTTTGGAGAGAGGCAGATGCCTAACTCAGTCTCATCAGAAACAATGTACATACCTAACCCCCGACTCCACAAGAGGAGTTCCTTTTTAGAGATGGCTACCAGAGACAGACACTAAAATACAGACTGTAGGGTGGGACCAATTTCCATCAATGCAAGGGGGCTTATAACACTTTTCCATTAGCATCTCCCATTAGCTAGCTTAGGTGTCTTCCTATGTAGCACGCTAGCTTTTTGGATCACATTGTAAAATACCTATGTCTTCCCACAAACTGTATTGGGATGCTAGGTGCATAACTCAGGTAGCGTGGATCCCTTTGCCGTTTTTAGATGCCTAAAACTCAGGTGTTGCAGGGCCCAGCACCACAGTGCCTAAGTCCCTTTATTATACTGGGCCTTCATGTACTACTTCTTACACTGTAATGTAATAGCTGTTACCTTGCTCTAAATGTCCATGATTCTGAATGTGTGACATACTCTGTGGCTAGTTAGGTCAGAGTGAAGTTCATCTTCCCTCATGATGTCTCCAAAGATGGATCAGCTATCTGCTTTTTACATATCAGTTATTTGCTTAAAGCTGGGACGTTAACTTGACTTCTGGGAAGAAACTAAGACAGAGAACAAACAGAAACGTGGGTGACTGATATTTAAAGACAGGCAGGGTTTTCACTGACTTTGGAAACCTATTCTAAATTTTCTTTTCTTAGACATGGCTCACTGCTAAAGCCCTCATAGGTTGGTTTCATTTTATAATTGTCTATGATTACCTACATGTAAACATGATAGCCAGCACCTAACCACAGCCCTGGGAGATCGAAACTCCTGATCACTTCAGGCTGCAAACCCACAAGCCTTGATCAGTACCATTAGCTCAAGCTCTGAAGTAAAACCTGTAGTACTTGGCAGGAGTAGCATTTTATCAAGTCACAGGCAGTGACACGTCGGCAGGTTTAGTAGCACTGTCTGAACTGAGCCTGCATCTATTTCATTTTAGAGCAAGTTCTATTCCCCAGGATTTCAGCTGAAAAGCAGCTGTGAATGTAGCAGGATGACCACGAAGCAATAGGATTGGGAAACTTGCATGTGGTACCGACTGCCCCATGCATCATTGTAAACTCTTCCCAAAGCACCCAGTGGCCAGTTGCACAGTGAGAGAGCCACAACAATACACTAACAAAAAGAAAAAGGCCTTTCATTAGGAAGGTTAGTAGTGAGTAAATTAGGTGACTATTAAATCTTAAACACTCTTTTTTTGATGTGAGACTAGCAAAGAATTGTGAAAGGATTACAGGTTGACTGTCTACACTGGCAGGTGTAAAGTGCTGCTCATGACAGTGCTGCTCACAGAGCACTGCAGGGAAACTGCTGTTGTGTGTCCACATAGTGCTCCTTGTGATGGTGGAGCATGCCCACATTAGTAGCTCTTGCAATGCCAGGGTGTATTGTGGTGGTTATATCACTGTGCAACTGGCCACTGGGTGCTTTGGGAAGTTTGCAATGCATGAGGCAGTCGGTATCACATGATGCATGTTTCCCAATCCTATTGCTTCAGGGTCATCCCGCTACATTCACAGCCGCTTTTCAACTGAAGTCCTGGGGAACAGGGGAGTGTGTGACAGGGAGCAGGTGCATGAAGGAGGGGAGAGACAGTATGTTTTGGGGGATGTCAGCATGCTGTCTTGTAAGTTCAGTTGCAGGGAACAACCCGTCCTGAGGCAGGGGGAAGGGGAAACCCCAACATTTCAGTCCCCCGTTCTCTCCTGCCTGCCTCCTTCGCTCTTTGCCTAGCAATCACTTGTGCTCTCACACACATACACAGCTGCCTGCCTCTGTGTTTAACAACAGGAGCACTCCACCTCACTAGTTTGCTCTGTATCCACAGCAAATCAGCTCAGCATGCAGGCTGTCCAAAACAGAGCTCTAGAGGGGGAATCGCACATGCCTGTAGGGAAGTGAGCAGAGTTTAAAACAAGGAGCAGAGGGAACTGGAGGGATTACGGACCATGTCTGAAGGCCTGTCAGGGCTCAGCAAATAATTCAAGTATCCACTCGACCTTGTGCCTACCGCTGTAGCCAGAATGCAACGAGCTCTATGTTTCTCGTGGAGGTGGTTTACCCGGAGCGCAGCAACTGCGGAACTAGTGTGCACTACATGCCTTGCCAGAGTGGACACCTCGGGAGTTACACCACTGGGAGCTGATTTACTGTGCTATAACTTGCCAGTGTAGACTTGGGTTGGGCTTTATGCTTTGCTGTGTCACAGGAGTGCTGCCACCTCAACAGAGATGTTTTAGCTATCCAGTTGATCTCTACAGATTAAGATATATCTAAAGGATGGGGGAGGAGTGGTGGAGTACAGGGGAGAGCTATTTCACCCCTTTCCCCCCACTCTTCTTTCTGCATTCCACATTTTCTAGCTATTTCACCCCTTTCCCCCCCACTCTTCTTTCTGCATTCCACATTGTTTCTTCCCTCACATTTTGCACTGCATTGTGGTTTGAGCCTCAATTTGTACATTCTCTTGTAAGAGGATGCATGTCAGCCCTTCACTTTTTTTTCTGCAACAGAGATGCAGGGATGGGGAGTGATGATTGGGGGGAAAACAATGGGTCATGTTATACAACTGATATTTACAGGGGACTCCTCAAGCCATTGCTTGCTAGGCTGTAGAAGTTGAGGCAGGATTTTTCCACAGATATTGTACAATACTGTTCTTTGAAAAGAAATGGTCAAATCAAGGTACAGTGTAGCCCTATACCAGAAACTGTTAAGTGACCTAGGTTTCACCTTGATAAAAATTGTCCTTGATTGCTGGAGACTAGCAAGCAGGGAACATTTTTTCACTGGATGAGTAAAGTGATTATATACTGACAACGGGGGTGCCTGAGTTAAGTTAACTGGTTTTAATTGCGCTCGGTCTGAATAGCATGCTTTGAAACTCTGGCTAGGTCTATACTGGGGGAGAAATTTGATTTAAGATGTGCAATTTTGATTTAAGATAACAGTGTAGGTTAAACTAAATTTCTCTGGTTGATTTCCATTACTTCTCATCTCGGAGTACTAGGATTGACAGGGGCACCATCAGTGTTCGATTTAGTAGATAGGGTTGCCAGGTGTCCTGTTTTGAACCGGACAGTCCAGTATTTGAGCTTTCTGTTCAGGAAACAAATTGAGAAAATATAAATAGATTTCTAAATATAAAAGTATTTTCTAAATAAGATGTAATGTAGATTGTGATGTAATGTCAAGTGTGTCCGGTATTTTTGTTGAAACCATCTGGCAACCCTATTAGTGGGTCCTTACTAGACCTGCTAAATCAAACCCCAGAAGATCAATCTTCAAAGCATTGATCTCCAGATAAGTATAGACAAGGCCTAAGAGAAAGTGAGCTGTTGAGAAAATTCCAATTGCTGGAAGAGTACCCAAGTTTCTGGAGGAAGCTCCTCTGCTAACACTAGATGAATAAATGCTCAGTAATGACAGATACCAATTTAATGTTTCTTTTTATTTTGTTGTTTCAGAAGGTTTCTTTGTTGCAGGGATTAATCTTACTGAAGACTTAGAATACATTTTAGCACATCCATTTGGATCCTTGAAGAAAATGACCCTTTCAAGCCTGCCTTACCTTATAGGCTGGATAAAACAACAGCATCCAGGACCGGAAAGGAAATGTATCAACATCATTGCTGGAGACTTCATAGGAAATGAGGATTTTGTGACTGATGTGATAGAACTTAACAAAAAAAATCCTTCCATTACATTACCATAGTAATAAAATGGATTAAAGGATGTTTTATGACTTTTAGCTTCATAATCATGGGATGATTTGAGTAAATTTTGATCATTTCACAGAGAGGGCAGTTTTCCTGATTCAGCTATATCGTGTGCGTATAAGTTACATTTCTTCCTTCCAGGGATGTTGTGAAGATTCATAATTCGAAGACTGCACCAAAATGAGACTTTAAAATAAAAAATGCTTATGGCAAGCAAAACTTCCTATACCGGGGGGAGAGAAGAGCAAGATCTCTTCTTAAGTTTTTTTATAGCCCTTGCCAGCTAGGCGTAATTTAGCTGGGCAGTACATAAATTTTGCAATAACCGGTGTTAGGATATTGTCTAACATCCCTACTCATCTTTTGCAAAACTTTTGGAAAATAAACTTAGGTTCACTGCTAGGTTTTTTTCTTTAAATAGTTTTTATTTGTGAAAAATATTAGGTATGTATTTAAAATCTGCTTGTGTGCGTTTGCAAACCAAACACCATGGGACATGCACTAGACTGTGAAACTGATTAGTTTGTTTTCATGGATAAAGGTGCATGAAATGTTAAAAGTGTACAATATAATTAGTAAACAGAAAATGAGTTTTTTAGAATACATTTTGATAATCTCAGGGATTACATTTACTGATGGTCATAGTAGTATCAAAACTGGCAGTGTACCTAAAGAAACCTGACATGATTCAAGTTGGTCATCAGGTAGGCATTTTGACATTTTGGAGGGAAACGGCAATAGCATACCCAAGAGGGTGCTGAACTGATACTTTAATGTCTTTTAAACTGGTAAATTTATAATTACAATGGTCCTCAGCAATCTGATAAGAGTATGTAGTACACAGCAGTTATGTTAAGGCTTTGTATTGCTCCCATTTTATATTCATGCAAATTCTGATGTTAAGGTAGCACAGCTAGGCCCTCTAACTACATTTTTACCCATTTAGCTTGAAATGTTTTAAATTGAAGGGCTATTACGTAAGTAAAATACCAAAAAAGATTTTCGATTTTTTTCACACTTCACTTGAACCAGAATATACTGTAAATTAAAGTATACTTTAATTTACACTGATGTAAATATTTTCAATAGCGTTTCAAAGTTGTAGGACTGGAAGTGACCACCTGGGTCATCAGGTCCAGTCCCTTACCATTGTTGGCAATGCTTCCATAAATATATCAGGCACCACTTTAAAACTAGTCATTGCCCCCATGCCACCTAGTGGAAGGCTGTTCCAGAACCTCACTCCATTAATGGTTAGAAATCAGTTTTCAGCCTAGATTAATATTTGTGTAACTGAAAACAGACATTTCCCACCTCCCCTTACCCAACTGTTTGCTTTAGTTACTATTAGGGATGTGAATAGGTAATTGGTTAACCAGTTACCTGGTAAGCCTCACCCTTAATAGGTGAGGCTCTGGTAATGGTTAACTGTTAACCCCCACCCCTGTGAGCAGCCCATCATGGGAAGAGGACTTGCTTTGGCCCCCTGGGGCTGCTGGCTTCCAGCCCGTGGCGGCTGGGAGTTGGCAGCCTGGGGATTGGGAGGACGGAAGCAGTGCGGTGTGGGGGGGTCTCTACTAGCTCCCAGGTTGTATGGGTTTGTAGACCTGCATAGAGCAGCAGCAGCAGCAGGGGCAGGGTGCCGGTCCTCAGCCCGCTGCCTGTGAACCTGGGCAGCCTGGAAGCCAGCAGCCCTCCTTCTCCCACTAGTATTGCCAGATGGTTTCAACAAAAATACTGGACACACTTGACATTACATCACAATCTACATGACATCTTATTTGGAAAATACTGGACATTGATATTTTCCCATTGATATTTTCTCAATTTGTTTCACAGAAAGCTCAAATACTGGACTGTCTGGTTCAAAAGCAGACACCTGGCAACCCAACTTCCTGCAAGAGTCTGCTGACTCACAGCCCGTGAGCCTGCGTGGGCTGAGAGTTGGCAGCCCTGCCCTCCACCCCACTCCCTGTGCGAGGCTACACTTCTAGCCCACGAGGGCTGGAACTGCCCCTTCCCATGGTGCGGGGGCTGCCCCAACCTGGCCATGGCAGCGGTGAGGGGGAGGCCACTTCAGTCCAGTGGGTTGGACAAGCCCTGCACTCACCTGTGTTTAATTAGTTAATGGGTTAAACTTAATGCTTAACCATTTGGACTTTTACATTCCTAATTGCTATTTTGTTATGTGTACTTGTACATTGCAAATGATGAGGTTTAAGCCATACACTGCTTTTTCTTTTCTTTTCTTTTTTTTAAAAACTAGGTGCATTTTTACTGATCAGAAAAGTGAGGGCCCAGAATTATTAGCAAGAGCGAGGAACAGAGGAAACAAGCGTTATATAACCTTCACTGTGCTGCTTTGTTAGAATAATTCATTCTTTAAATGCACAACACACTTTTTATGCTCCTGGTGGGTTGTTAAGATGAACAAACATCTTGTGTGGACAAAACTGAACTCAAATGTTACTCATAAGTGTTGTAAGTTCCAGAAATAAATGGCAAAAAAGTTACCTCCTTGTGAAACTTCACACTGATTTATAGGCAGCATTTCAGAGGAAACCCAGACATTGTTTAGAAATAATTTTGACTATCATGATATTTTTTTATCCATGTCCTCTCAGTTATACTGTTGATATAGAACAGTAATGTATTTTGTTGAATATATATAAAATTTCAGTATGCCACTTGCATAAAATGCTGTATTATATGTTTATAGATAAAGTTTTTCTGTACAGCATTATGATTTTATATAGTAGACAAAATTTTATTCACTTCTGAGACACAATTATGCTATTTGCATCACAGTTCTCTCTAGTTCTGTTACATATTCTGTCTCCAGTTGATTCATAATCTAGATATGAAATGGTTTAAGCTGAGATTTTTCTCTCTGTTTTTGTAAGTATTACATTCTTCTAAATTTAAATCTGAGGTGTAATTTCCTTGTCTGCAGTATTTGAATCCTGTTAGCTCCCAATATGCCTACAACATACTGGCTGTGTCCAGACTGGCAAGTTTTTCCGCAAAAGCTACGGCTTTTGCAGAAAAACTTGTCAGCTGTCTGCACTAGCCACTTGATTTTGCGCAACAGCACTGACGTTCTACTGTCTGAAATCAGTGCTTCTTGCACAAATGCTTTGACGTTCCCGTTCGGGCAAAAGCCCTTTTCTGGAAATGTTTTTGCACAAGAGGGCCAGTGTAGACAGCTAAAAACTGTTTTGCACAAAAAAGCCCCGATGGAGAAAATGGTTATCGGGGCTTTCTTGCGTAAAACCGCGTCTAGATTGGCACAGATGCTTTTCCACAAAAGCACTTTTTGCGGAAAAGCGTCCGTGCCAATCTAGACGCTCTTTTCCGCAAATGTTTTTAACCGAAAAACTTTTCCGTTAAAAGCATTTGCGGAAAATCATGCCAGTCTAGACGTAGCCACTGTGAAAGCAGGTTTGAAGCAGAAATCCCAACTGATTTTTACAGTCAAATGAGTTCTGTCAGTAGCTCTGGACTACACTGAACTATCAATTGTTAATCAGGAAAGATAAACCTTTACCCTCACATCTTCAATAATATTTAAAACAACTTTCAAGTATAGATAATAGTGCCTTATTTTGTTTGGAGAGATTTGTGATGTAAAAGTCAATTTCCCTGCTTAAAACGCTACATAAACAAGTACTTTTTATCCTAATGTAAAAAACTAAAACCCTTGGTACTAATCTTTTAATAAGCAAAATGCTTACTGAACACAGCAATCTGCCTTCTATTTATAAGAAGCTTAAGCAGTTGTGATAGGTGACAGCAATCTCTCTTTTCCCTCTAGGTTACACTTGCCAATCATGAAATCTCAAATGGTCAGGACCAGCATTAATAAACAATATTTATTCTTACATCAGTTATATAAAAATGAGTGCACATGATTAAGTAAACTTGCAATTTGTTGAAACTAAATTTGGTTAGCACACAAGGATTCAGAAATCATCCAGGTCCAAAGCTTAGAGCAGTTGTTTTGCGCAGTCCCGATGCACACTGACAAATGCTTCATAGTTCAAAATTAAGGTTTCCTTGGTGTACGTTTGTCAGTGGAATGAGGCTGGAGGTCTGTAATACTTCCACAGAGAGACATTTAAGAAGTACTGTCACCATTTCTCATAGGTCCAGACCAATGTCATATGTTCAAAAAACTCAAGTGGTCAGCACTGACAATCTCTTTTACAAATGAACACAGAGATTATTGCCTTCGTTTCATTTCACTGCTGATTAGTTCTTTTTCCAAAGACTATGGTCAGAATAAATAACTTATTACTGTGGGAAAAGTTTTTTGTATTTGCCCAAGGCAGAATTACTTATGATCACCTTCACATTGGCCATGCCATCTTCAGGCATAACATCCACTTCCTGAACTGTTGCTTCTTTATAGAGCCAACTGAAAAGAAACAAATCATCAGCATTTTACAGGCATTCAATAATGTACAAAATAAAGCTTTTCTTTTACATCAACAACAAGGTATTTATATACAATTTAAATAAAAGTAAATGCTTATTTGAAACAAGCTTAATAATAACAGGAAACATTCTTATTTTTGCTTCCACAATAAGACACTCTTCTTCTGAAAAGAGATATACTACTTAATAAAACATTTAAGACTTGTGGTCTTTTATTAGATTCAACTTTGGTTCTAGCCCCAATAGGTAGATGGTCTCCCAAAGAAATCTGGATTCTGTTTTTTAAAGTGTTATTTTGTATGAGGACACATGAGAAGAGATTCTATTACGCTGTTTAATTGACTATATGGAATACAAAATATTTTTTTCAGACTATATCATTTCATCTGAGACTGGTTAGACAGAACTCCAAAAACTCTCACCATTCTTATCACAGATCGAAACAAAAATAAATACAATTCATCAATTTATCCGAAAACTAATTTTTTTATATATACCTGCCTTTCAACGTCTAAATGTAGAAGTCACAATTGTTTACCTTAGTTGAGGTCCAGCTAACTTGATTTTAATTGTCAGAATCTTTTTCCCAGTTGTTTTCAAAACTGTTCGCTCAATCTCTTCTTTCAGTTCTTCTAATCCATATCCAAGAAGAGCAGAAACAGCTATAGCATTTGGTTCAGGGGACTGATAGCTGGAAAATAACATCTGTCAGCAAGAGATGTGCTAGCAGAGCAGGTGACTTAGCCAAATTCCTACATCTCAGTTATCTGGGATTTTACTCACCCATGTCTCCAACCTTTTTAAGCATGAGTTCACTTTTTGAATTTAAGTGCAATCCAGAATCTACCTCAAATATACCCCTCCCCCTGCCTCCACCCCTTCTCACTCCATCCCCCATCCTCACTCACTTTTATCAGGCTGGTGGCAGGAATTTGGGATGCAGGAGGGGTACAGGACTGGGTCTGGGGTTTGGAATGCAGGCTCTAGCAAGGCATCACTTACCACAGGTGGCTTCTGGGTGGTGGTGCAGGGGGCTAAGGCAGTCTCACCCTCTCCCTGGCCCTGCACTACTCCCAAAAGCAGCCAGCAAACTCTCTGCCCCCCTCTGCTCTGTGGAGATGGGGTACAGGGTGGGTGGTGGTGCATCCTGAGATCAGTACCCCCCCTGCCCCTTCTTCCCATGCCCTGCACAATAAGCAGGAGGCTCCCACGGGTGGGGGGAAGCTCTAAGGCCGAGGGCAGGAGCAGCACGAGAGTGCTGAGAGGGGCAGCTGAAGTGCTGGCACTTGATAGCCTCCCAGCCAAACCTGTCAAAGGCTCCAAGATCTACTAGATCCCGATTTACTGGTTGGTGACCACTGCACTACACAGACTTCTGCAGATAATTATGAACTCTAATTTTATTTTTACTTCTGAAGACTGAAACTCTGGAGAGCCTTTATAAGGAACGGACTGAGCAACCAGTATCTTAGTAACAAAAAATGGCTGAAAGTTCCCTGCACACCTGGGAAACAAGATTCTTTGTAAGCATTTGTGTGCAATGATACAAGTAAAGACTTTTAAATGCTACAGTTCAACAAGGAAACATGAACTAATGTGCAGTAAGTTTTAGAACTGTACTTTTCCTCTTACCTTTCTATCAAATCCACTTTGTTATGAACTTCTACAACTGAATCCAGCAAATGGCTTGGAAGATTAAGCTTCTTCAGAACAGACAAAACACTTGCTTTTTGGAGGACAGTTTCTGGATGACTAATGTCCCTCACATGAACTATTAAATCCTAGCAAATATAAGTACACAATATGGTTACTGATGATAAAGGCTATTTTAAAATAATATTTGACATTGAAGCACATTCCTTTATAGTGGAGAGTACACAGACAAGTTAACAATTGAAACTGTATTTCTACAATAAATTCAGGGTGGAAGGCTAGCTGTGTGTCAGGTCTGTAGGTTGATCCTTAGCGTCACAAAGGGTTGCAACTGCTTCATATGGCCTCAAACAAATCTTCCCGAACAAGTTAGTTATGATTTTCTTAGGTTTCAGGGAGCAAATGGCTCATCTTTACAAGCTAAGGTTGAGCAAAGATAGGTACTTGAAAAATACAGCAGAAAAAAATGCAATATCCCTGAAGAAATCCAACACCACAAAAAACACAGCTAGTGTAGCTGTGGGGAGGTAAAGAAGAAACAACTCAGATACTTAAAAAATAGATTTTTCTCCTTCCCAACAAAAACTGGGATATTAGGCAATACATATTTGTGTAAAGCTATAAACACTCTAGAACTTTACTTTTCCCAGTAGCCTTTGGTACACCTGTGTCAATGATGGTGCATCTCTGGTATGCAATAAATCTGTGGCATAAACTACAGAAACTGTATTAGGCTTGGTATACCCATGACCATACATGGGGGCAAGAAGAATATTACAAAAGACACACAATAGGCACCCAAAATTTATCAACCCTGTATTTTTAGCACTTGACTTGAAATGTTTTAGCATCTCGGGCCTACACGCTACTATAAATAATTTCTAAAGCATCCTGCAGAAACTGCAATAACTAGGCAAAAAATGAAAAAGATCGTTGTGTCTGCTTTCAAGCTAGCTGCTGAGTTTTAGTTAAGCTTGGACAGCTGATTCCTGGCTCACACCGGCTCCCCCCCCACCCGGCTGCACTACAGCCTTTCTACATTTAAGGATGATACACAGCAAGGGGGTTCTGGTGTGAGCTGGGAACCAGCTGTCTTGCGCCTGGTCCTCCCTGCTGGGCTTCAGCCTTTTAAATTTAAAAGGCAGAGCTGCAGTGGGATTAGCTCCCGGGGCTGGCAGCTAACCCCGCTGCAGCTCCCCTGCTTATTGACTACATCATCTAGTCAATGGAAAATCCATCGACTAGTTGATTAAACTACATTTAACATCCTTAGTCCAAGAGTGCTTATAATATTCACCATCTACTGATTGTTGCAATAAAACTAGTCAGATATGCCACTATAAACAGCATGCCAGTTAACTCCCACCATCTGGAAAGGTGAAGACCGCCCCACAGACAATATTCCAGATATTGATACGTTTTAGAATCAATAACTTACTGAGTAAGCCACATCTTCTAATGTGGCTGAAAAGGACTCAACGAGATCATGAGGCAGTTCAGAGAGAAACCCTATAGTATCAACATAAATAACTGCCAGGTGTGAAGGTAGATAGCCACCATGAGCTGTAATATCAAGGGTGGCAAACAGTTGGTCTCGAGGCTGCAGTCCTTCATCTCCAGTCAGTGCCTTGATCAAAGTGGTTTTCCCTAACAGAAATCAGAGTTGACTAAAACGCAATTTAAACTGTCTGCATCAAATAAAATTAACACACTTGGCTCAAGTGATTGAGTAATGGGATCAAGGAGTAAAAGTTCCTGAATCACCAATTTAAATCCAGCACATACATGCTGGCTACATCTACACTGGCATGATCTTGCGCAAGAACTCTTTTGCGGAAGAGTTCTTGTGCAAAAACTCTTCCAGAAAAGAGCATCTACACTCGATGTGCATTTGCGCAAGAGATGTGCTTTTGCGCAAGAGCATCCATGCCAGTGTAGATGTTCTCTTGCGCAAGAAAGCTCCGATGGCC